CTGCCACTGCTACTGCTGCTGCTACTACTACTACTACTACTACAATACCACTACTACTAGCAGAAGTAGCTGCAACAGTAGTAGTAGTCGTGATAGTAAATTTAGCAGGAGTAGCAGTCGTCGTCGTCGTTGTATATGTCGTAGTAATGTAGTGTAGTGGGCAGTGGGCAGTGGCAGTGAGTAGCAGGAGTAGCAAGATTAGAAGCAAGGCAGACGCAGAAGTAGCAGCATCAGTAGCAGCAGTAGCAGTAGCAGTAGTAGCATTCGCAGTGGTAGTAGTAGTAGTAGTAGTAGTAGTAGTAGTAGTAATAGTAGTCGTAGTCGTAGTCGTAGTCGTGGTCGTAGTCGTAGTCGTAGTAGTAGTAGTAGTAGTAGTAGTAGTAGTAGTAGTAGTAGTAGTAGTAGTAGTAATAGCAGTCGTCGTAGTCGTAGCAGTCGTCGTAGTCGTAGCCGTAGTGGTAGTAGTAGCAGTAGTAGTAGTAGTAGTAGTAGTAGTCGTCTTGGTAGTAGTAGTAGTAGTAGTAGTAGTAGCAGCAGGAGTAGTAGTAGTAGTAGCAGTAGTAGTAGTAGTAGTAGTAGTAGTAGTAGTAGTAGTAGTAGTAGTAGTAGTAGTAGTAGTAGTAGTAGTTTGTTTTAAAGTAGTAGTAGTAGTAGTAGTAGTAGTAGTAGTAGTAGCAGCAGTGGCGGTGGTAAGCGGTGATGGTGGTAGTAGTAGTAGTAGCAGTAGTATTAGCAGCAGCAGGTGTTTCAGTGGCAGTAGCCGTAGTAATAGGACTCAGGGTAGGGTTAGTAGCAGTAGTACGAGCAGCAGCAGAAGAAGTGTTAGTGATAGTAGTCGCAGCAGCAGCAGCCACCACTACTACGACAACAAGAACAACAACTAGTAGTAGTAGTAGTAGTAGTAGTTGTAGAAGTAGTAGTAGTAGTAGTAGTAGTAGTAGTAGTAGTAGTAGTACTACTACTACTACTACGACCACCACCACTACCACTACTACCACTACCTCTAACTCTACCACTACCACTACCCCTACCACTACTACTAGTGCTGCTGCTGCTGCTGCTACTGCTACTGCTACTGCTACTGCTACTGCTGCTGCCACAGCCACTGCCACTGCTACTGCTAATGCGACTGCTACTGTTGCTGCTGCAGCCACTGTTAACGCTACTGCTACTCCCAGTACTAGTACTCGTACGAATGCGAACTATCGCCTGCATCACAGTACATGCAGGCTGATCGAATCACCAGAAAATATTCGACTGCGCTGTCTGCTAGTCTTGTTGCTTCATTGTGATTCATAGTAGTAGCAAGTACAGGGGAAGGTGGTAGCGCAGTGCCGCTAAATATTTGTCTACGACAAAAACGATCCAAGAAATATCACGAAAGCAGGCCAATTTTTAGCGAAGGTGGCAATCACAGTGACCGACCCAGGTCATCCACAGTGTTGGAGGCATCGCCGCGGTGTCCGTAGCTATGTGCAAGAAGACTCCCCCAGGCACTGGCTATGACAATTCGAACATGGACGGCGACAAGTCTATCTCCGGGCGCTGCTGGCCGCCAAGGAATAGAGGAGGGGGGAGTGTATGCATCTATGCTGAAGCCTTGAGTGTTGTTTTCTGCCAACACGGGATTGTTCGAGAGGTTGGCCTTGCTGGTTTATTGTTTGCTTGCCCTTTCGTCTGTTTGTACGCGTAGGAATCGGCGGCCTGCTTCCATCTTCGCGTTCGTGTGGATTCTAGTGCGAAAGCATCTGTAATGTGTGAGCCATACTTCTGTCAGTACCATTCGAATATCGCTCCATGTCTTTCACGGTTGCACTGGCACATACTGGCACCATAGACTCCGACGCAGTTGGGTCGTCTTCCTCACCCTTCTCCTCGTGACGACGAAGACGACGCACCAACGCGGTCTTAATGAGGCTCTAAGGATCTCAGCAAATTCGATCTCTCCATTGCTCCTTTGACAGTTGCTTGGCTTCGGATCTCCTTTTGACTTTCTATTTCGGCTCAGCAGAGGGCGGGAAATGTGTGAACCGAAATTCTGAGATTTGAGGACTTCCGTGCGTGCAGGCACTGTTCTTTGATACAGTGGGATCGGCCTCAGTGCTGCTCAGGGCAACGACAGCACGTGTTCCTGCGACAGTGCTGTCATGTGGAGGGGTCGCACGTAATAATGTCAGCTTGCATCCGACAAGTGGGAAGAACATACGGATAAGGTGGAGACCACGACCACAGCCCCGAAATGTTGACCTGCAAATTGCTGCCTAAGCTCCGACTGCAACCCGAGGGATACCTCTTGCCCAGCTCGGGGCTTCAAGCCACCAGAACGGTGCGCAGGTGCATTAGGCAAAATCGTGTGTCTGTGGCCTTGGGTCACTCCTCATTTTGTGTGTTAATCTTGAGAAAACTCTTCCTGCAACAGCGCTCGAAGCCTTCTGATGATAACAAAAACAAAGTGAGGGCGGCCGGACCAATAGAGCCTATCCAGCATGGGTGTGAGTCTGAGTATCTCAGCACTCCAAAAGGTGGCTCTTGTGTTAAGAGAGACGAGTCACTTTGTCATGCATCTGCTGAGCCATTCTAGCAGCAGTTGGTGTAGTCCAGAACATACCGCCAGCCCTCACCCATGTAGTCGCAGCATGTGGCAGAAGAGGACTGGGTCATGGAAGGCTGGAATACCGCGTGGAACATATCGGCATTCATTGACCGTCCGCCAACATACCTGAGACGCGCGGAATTTGCTCAGTCATAAGCAGGGTGTTGATAAGAGGAGATCTTCATTGAAACTTGCGGAACCATTCACCGCGAACGCCGAACAATCACGACACAGGAGGACAAGTTCGCATCGAGACTGACGGACCAAATGCAGAATTGTCATCCAAGGATCATCTTGGCCCTCGGCCCATATCTTCATGCAGTCAGGCAACGCATTCACAAGATGGAGCACATTGGACCACTTTGCTTCCAGTGGGGGCTCTACCTGAGGCGATATCCATTCAGTGCCACATCTTCGCTCGTTGGGGTTTTCGACACTGCCCAGGTGCACTCCGACTCGCACGTTGGATGAAAGCCCAGTTGGTGCGGTCGATTCGGCCGTTGATCATCAAGGCGAGAACCTCGGATCTGACAGCAACGGGAGGACTCTCTGCCGGTATCTCTTTTTCGTGACCGCTGAGACAGAGCCCGGTAAGGCACGGCTAACTATGAAGATGGCTCGGAAGTGCAAGCTCGGTTGTATGATTTGCACATACAAGCAAACAGAATTCTACGGAATCACCGACCAGATCTCAATCACCATAAAGATTGATCTTCTAGTTCTTGGTCTAAAGTATTCAGGCGATCACAGAAGATACTTTGGGCCCAATGTTCAATCAACACCAGAACAGCTATGTAATCGTTGCAGTTAGGTGCCAATTAAGTATTTTATTTCGACTGACTACAGCTGCTAAAAATGAAAAGGATATCGCAATGAAGGCGACAACAAACCCACCCCATTAAAATGTGTTACGGTAGCGACTAAGTCATGACATGCAACATTCATAACTTGTATAGTGCGAAATTCAATAACCTGTACATACACGTGTAACGACTACCATTGGTATGCTTATTGCCAGCCTGTAACACAACATCTTTCTAAGTTCAGAGAGATGCTTCTACCGTGCATTCAGGACGTACAGGCTTCGGTATTGCATGCCCTGGAGCATCAGCATGCCCGGTCTGTCTCTCCAGGAACCCTCACCAGAAAGCTGCAAACTTGGATCACCCCACCGAGCTCTTGGAAGTCGAGGTGCCAGAAGGGAGCAAGCAAACAGCGCATCCCGGCGGTTTAGCTCCGAAAGCCCATTGAAGAACATGTCCTCGTCATCGAGTCCTGCGAATGCAATACGCACCTGCAGTTCTTGAAAGCCCTGCTGGGGCCAAGATACTATATACTTGAACTTCAGCACCGACTTCGAAAAATACTCCCATCCACTTAAACTGGGGAAGGGCTGGAGCGTGGACGTGGGACAGACCTTGGATTTCTTCTTCGCAGCTTTTGAGATTAGCTGTTGCCAGGAGAATACTGTGTACAGTGTACCGTCTCAACCTTAGCGAGAGCATCTACGAACTAGCAGCTCAAGACTTCACTACGCTCGAGTCCTTCGCGAGTAAGCACCGGCTTCCTGATCTTCCTGTTACGATGCTACGGTAGGTGAAGCCCTTACGTAAAAGCAGCACACAACAACCGTCTATCTGCGACCTGCCCAGTCACCTCAAGCTAAAACAACTGCCCTGCCTAGATCGGCAAGCTCTTCGTGCAAGGACTCTGTGGGTGCCTCTGGCGAAGACCACCTGGCAACACCGGCAAGGGCCTCACGTGCACTTTCCAGCATGCAAGCCTATCTCTACCTTATCTGTGCGAGGTTCGTGGTGCCGGAGTCCTAGAAAGCCGGTTCAGCGAAACTTGCGAATGCATGTGGGAGAAACTTATGTCGACGGCTCGCAGAACACGACCATTTGGCAGGCTTTAGCCCATCCCTCTCTGCGGAATATCAGCATCACCACACAATGTTGCGCAGTGAAGTCCCTCTCGCCCTCTCGAACTGCTGCATGAAAGACGCAGCTGTTCATCAAAATGAGAAGCCTGTCTCGTCTTCTCGCAGGCTACACTACTGAGATACTGCAATGCAGAGGTGCCGTACGCGTTTGTGTTGGCTTCTTGTACCAATCGTCCACAGGCATTGCATTGTGTCATGGAGCAATTCATGCTCTGCAGATCTCTCACTGGGACTGGTTTCGCCACGTTCCTGCACTCTTATCACGAACATTGCCCGGCGAGACGAGTCGGAATTGCAGGCTAAAAAGAATGTGAACAGCATCTAAGAATCTGCAGCGTAGCGGTTAACTACCACCGAGCCTGTTCGAGTTACCAAGCCCGCAATTCTGAGCTCGTGAGTGGACTGCTGAGAAAAGCACAGATGCCTACCGGGAGTTCCTGAAATCGGATATCTCCATGGCGAAGGTCAAAGAAGCTCACATCTGGTTGATAGGCCTGATGAGCTTCTCAACCTGCGGCCACAAATCGAATGACAGGGGGAGCTCGAACGAGCAGTCCCGGAATAGGCCCCAAGAAGCTTGCCCAGAGCATGCAGCGCGGCAGTCTGCCCACGGTTTTACAAGAGATTGCATGGGGTGCTGCACTCAACAATTCAGAAATCATGCAGGCCCTAAACCTGTGACAGGTTGAGGTCAAATCCTTGCTGTTCCCGCAGGACGCTGCCTTCCTCCGGCTCCGCCGCCTCCTCCTCCTCACCCTCGTCTGGCCTGCCCCCTTCCTCATCATCAGCGCCGCGGGCGCGCTTCTGGGCTGGCCTGGGAATGAAAAAGGCTGCAGCAATAAATGCGGCTACTTATATACTGCCACTAGACTCTCCGAAGTTCTCCAAACGACTCTGAAGGTCAGGCTTGGTGGGACGGCAGACACACATCAAACCATGTGCCTGCATGCATACATGAACACCATCGTACATATGCATAGCTGTACATAGACGACATGTGCGCATTAGGGCATGCATGAGTGCACTGCAACTCTGCGGTGGTGGCAGCTCCTGCTGACGTTGCCGTCGCGGCTGCGGCCAAACGTATCAGCCCAGCTCAACAAGACGACAGGCCAAGATATTCATCGCAAACGAGGCAACCAGCTGTGAGGCAAGCGGCATGTCGGATGACTCGAAGTCCTTCGATAATAGCGACGGTCACACCGGGCTGAACTGCATATCCGGCTTATGCTGCCGGAGAGCGTGTCTTGCTGGCATAATATTACCCCCGCAGTGAACAAATGAGACACAATCTGGCAACTCACGCAGGAAGGTCTCAAAACGGAAGAGCCAGCAAGAGTCCGGAGCTGTCAGAATACACAAAAATTTAGAAAGCGGACACAAGCCAATCCTCTAAAGGCCACATTCCTGTTAGGCTTCGCCAGTATACTTGCCATCCCTCCAGCATGTTCAACCGCACTGCCTCTCCTCCTCTGTTTTCAAGCCCCGCACGAAGGAAGCAAAGTCATCGGCAAGATGGGTGATCTTCATGTCCTTGAGTGCATACCGCAGTGAGGTCTACAGCTAGGAAGAACCCTAAACCTGCGTGTAAAAGTGTAAACCGAAGTTCTGGCCTTGGGGCTCCAGATTGAAACCATAGGCTCGATGTTTCTCTCGCAGAGATTTGGGCAAAGAGCCGAAGAGGAGGGATGTGGATGCGGACTATGCGTACACGGGAGCTGGGATGGCTGGCCGTGCCGCTGAACCGGTCGAAGCTCGCTGGCTCGAGTAGGTTTTGAGTGGAGCACATGGCACGCAAAACGCATCTTGCAGCGAGGGGCCTGCTGCCTCAGAAGAGTAACATGTTGCTGTCTCTCTTTCCAGTGTCCTTGCAAACACATTCACAGCTCAGAAACCTCTGTGCTAAAGCCATTACAACATGCAATTCAACACTGTGTGCCCTGAACACCCCTTCGGGACTGAGGTCCATCACGCCATCAGCAAGTAGAAGCTGTGAAACTGTTTTTGTTGTTGCGGCTGCTTTCTGTGCATTCACATGGCTGTTCACGCATGCATCTCTGCCACCGGGAGGCGAGCTCTTGATCGACGTGCACGACACGCGGCTCTCCCTGTGAAAGTGCAGAAATGTCCAAGTCATCACTACTACTACTACTACTACTACTACTACTACTACTACTACTACTACTACTACTACTACTTCTACTACTTCTACTACTGCTACTACTGCTACTACGACTACTACTCCTGCTACTACTACTAGTACTACTACTACTACTACTACTACTACTACTACTACTACTACTACTACTACTACTACATCACTACTTGCGTGGGGATTTGATCCTGGTAATGTTCTCTGTCGCTCACCCCACAAAGAGCTGTATTGACTGTTGGCGTGGTTGCCTTCTACAGACTGGATCACCGTTACTTCCACTTCCACACACGCACTCCTATGCAGGCAGATCCAACGTTCGCTCGTTTTGCACACTCACGGCCGGCGGTGGATCGTCTGTGCACGGGATAGCTCTGTCTACTCGGAGAATCACAGAAGATTATAGCACTTTAGCTATGGGCAATGCTTTCTAGAGCTTGTGCTCATTCTTGAGCCAAACGTTGCATGGGCGGTCATACTGAAAGGATGGATAGGCATTGCGGTGTGCGTAGCACTACCACAAGCCTACTCCTAGAGACGAGGGACGCGTGGCGTGCCCCCTTCCCTTGCACTTTACACGGTCTTGCTCACAGCTCTTATAGTGACACCTTGGAACTTGACAAGGCATCGCAGTCCGTTCGCACCCCCCATGAGTTGCGTCTCTGACGCTGCTCACCCGGAAGATGGCACGATAGGAATATCAGAAAATTTGTTCCGTCGCAACTTTGACGTATAGATCAGAGCTTTTGCATCCCAATTAGAAGCGTTGTGACACTCATCTACGTCGGTAACGATCCCCTGAAATGGCGAACGAATCAGGCGTCACCGAAGAAAGAAGCATTCGCGATGGAATTCCACGTGCGAAGCACAGAGGTCACAATCTTGAAGATGAGGTAGATCACGTGTTGTCTCACCGCCATCTTCGCGTTGACGTAGGATCGCGTTCCCAGGGCCGGAGGTTCTCCTTTGGATACTGGTTCCTCTGCTTTCCTTTGTCCTTGCGTTTGTTTCGGCCTTTGCCGGCGATGTAGTCGTGGTAGGAATTGGCGTTCCAGCCACCATGTTGCTCATCTCCGGTTCTCTCACGCCCTTTTGAAGGTCCCTTTGCCGAGGAAGCGCTTGCACGTTCCTCCGTAGTGACGGGCGTGTCCATGATGGAAGTACCACCCGGAGGGAGATACTCTTCGGCCGAAATGTGATGTAATGCTTCAGGACGTCGAGTATTCGGATTTTGCTGTCTTTCAACTCTAGACTTGACCAATCTGTCCATGAAGTGCGCTGGCATTTGCACGTTGTGGTCCACCAGCAATCCAACGGTCTGGACGGAATAATCTGCATGAGTCAAGAGGATGCCGACCGGGTCGATGTACAGAAAGTCCACTGGTCCAGTTGGCGTGTTTCGTAGTACCGAAAATTGTTGATGTCCTGTCACCATCGGGATAACTTCACATAGGACGTTGAGGCAACAAAAGTGCATTGCCTTCACGTCTTCATCCTTGTTACTCTTCAAGTACGTGGTTGGATTGAAGTTATCTCTGCCGATTCCCATCATGTTGGCTCCCCGTGTCAATAGCGAAAGCATCTGGTTCGTCCGGAAGCGCTTCAAAGTGTAAGTCCCGTTGGGATCATACGACTTGAGGTTTTCAGGCTCCTTAGCAAAGCGAAGGATCTCCTCATCAGTCACGTCCCTGCTCACACCTGTTTCTTTATCCACTCCAGCCAAAGTTCCCCACTTTCCGAGCACATCATAGCGTTGGCCATGTGCGAAATTCTCTCTCATCTGAAACAACGGCATAGTCGCCCATTTCGCGAATCCTGACCAAGCTTTGTAGATGGTTCTGCATACAACGAATGCCATGTACGAAAGAGCGGCCATGTTGGCGTCGATGCAATGGGCGTTCCGTTTGCCGTGGTAGTAGGGCGGCTGCATGGCGGTGCGGGCGATCTGCAGTTCGGGGTCGATGTTCAAAGACTGACCGGCAATGAGGACGGGACGTCGTTCCTGTGCCACCGCATCTGGTACTTGGTCGTCAAAGTCCTCTCCTGGTTCCGTGTCCATTTCTTCATCAGGCTCCTGTTCTGGATCGTCATCACCAACGACGGATGGTTCTGGAATTCCTTCGGGTTCCGCAACCGATTCCGCTTCCATGGCTTCCTGTTCCTCGACGGTTGCCTCAGGTACTGCTGCTGCCGCAGCTTCCATCGTCTGAGCAATGAAGTCACTTGGGATCTCCGTTGGTGTATCCCGTTGTGGAGTACCTTGGTAGTATCCGCAAGAAACGAATTGTGACCAGCAGGATGTGCATCGAGAAAAGCATGCTGGAACAATGTTGTAGCACGCTGGGCATACCCTCATTCTCCTGCCGTCCTCATCTCTTCGTAGATCTTCGGGTCGCCAGTTCTTGATGACAAACTTGATGCCCTTGTCCATGTAGTGATGCCGAACCGTGTTCTCCCTGTGGGCCTCCAAAACAGTGGTAAGGTCTCGCATTATCTGCTCCTTGCTTGTGTCATGGGGTCCAGGAGGCATCTCGCAAAGCAATTCCATGATCTTGCTTGGCGTTCGATATCTCTCGAATTCAGGAAGCAATGGAGATCCATTGTAGTCCAACACCATCTCTTTCTCCAATCGTTCATCATAGATCTTTTCCACCAGAGCGAAAGAATGTGTATCCTGAGGATTCGGGACGCAAAACCATACCTCCTTCACGAACTGGAACGATATCGTTCGACCAACGATGATGACACCGCTGTCAGTGATACGTCCACCTTCTCGGGCAAGATCTGTCGAAGCGACATGGAGGACCACAAGTGGCATGTGCTTGGCTTGCGGCCCGTGTACCCGAGCTTTGGTCGTTGCGTTCCGGTCATCGAACGGCGCGAACACCCCCCAATAACTGTGGAGTCTGCCACCTCGGTTGTCCTGAAATCGGCGTCGCTGGTCGAAGTCCCCGTCAGGATCCTCCGAACCAGGCATGACGCCCTGCAGAACGATAGAATCCAAGTTGCGGCACGCCGTAGCGTGGAACGCGCCCCCGAGACGTGTCAAGAGGGTCATAGATGGAGATATTGCGAACCGGTCCTTGTCCAACTGAAGCAAATTGTTCTGGGGATCGGAGTGCGTAGAGTGACCACTTGTGGCCCTGACAGCCCATGGCTTCACCCAGCCGTTGCAAACACTCAGGTACCTCTGATTGTGTCGGCAACGGTCGTTGTTCTGGATCTCTGTGATCTGGTCTGGAACCGACACCAACATGTTCGAGTTCGCAGATCCAAGAGTCTCTGTGCCGGGGTTCTTCACTCTCACACCCAAGAACTGTAGCCGGATCTTGGCCTTGTGGCGTTTCGTTGCTGCAAGCATATTCCCCTGGAACAGTAACTGCAGTCTCTCATTGTACACTCTCTTCCTTTGGTACTCGTCGGTCCTTGATACCGCTTCGGTAATGCGTCTACTTTCGTGGGTCCACAGTTGCTCATGCCTCACCAAGTCCTCTATCAGCACCCACCCTCCTTCATCACATCGAATAACGCTGCTGAATGCCACTTGGCACCGGTTGTCAAGCCATTCCGAACCTGGGCGCCTGGCAATTCTGTGGCGTAAGTCAGATTGAATGCAGGATAGCGCCCATTCTGCGTTCATTCTTCGATGACGGTTGATGTTGCGAAGGACAACTTCATTCACGATGTCCCATCGATTGTTGATGAAGCTTGCACCCTTGGTTGGGATCAGGTCAAGAATTCCGCATCGGATAGGCCTTCCGCCGCCGATGGATTCGTAGCCTGAATTTGCCCATTGTTGAGTATTCTCATCATACTCGAAGCTTGGACGATCTCCTCGTTGAGGCAGTCGTCGGTCACGATGGTCCGAAAGCTGCTCAATGAGATCTACCACCCGCTGACTGTTCTCGGGTCCCATTTCCCGCAGCGGTACACCACAAGCGTCATGTAAGCCTCGACGGTTCTCCACTTCCGTGCATAGGTTGTGCTTGTTCTCGTAACGAATCAAGACCACATCACCCCGAACGGCTTCGCCTCCGCGTCGCGGTCGGGCTTTGGCCTTGGGTCGTCGGTCCGAGGAAGCAACACTCACATGGTCTGTGGTATCAACGTCCATTGGCTCAGCTTGTTGTGTAGGTGGTCGACGTGGATAGCGAAGAAGGCTGTCCCTGATGACCTGAATGCTTCGAAGTATCAGATCTCGGGTTGCAGCATTTTCGGTGCAATCGGACAGATGATGTGATTCACTGCCACAAGCAATGCAGAACGTGAAGTTATTGCTCCCGACCGACATCTCGCCCTGAGCAAGTATTCCCACATAGTCCTGAAGCTGTGTGACGAGCACCTCACGAACTCTCTGCCTGGGATCGGGCTCTTCAGCACCCTGTTCTTCTTCAGGTTGCGCATCCACATCAACGTCCTGTGTCGGTATTGGTGGTGCAACTGAAACCCCTGGATCGCCCGTGACGTTGTCAGCGGCCTGTGTCTCGTCGTTCCTTGCAATTTCTACGGGGTAGACATCACCATCGACGATCACAGTGAAATCAATCACGAGGTCAGCGGACAAGTTGTTGACGATCTCAGCGACTTGTTCATTCTTCTTGGGTGGTGTCCTCTTGCGTGGGGAGTCAACCGTGATGAGCTCGATAGCCTCGGCCGACGCATAGCGGAAGAATGATCTTTCGATCCCTCTCACGCACGCATTTGCCCCTTCAAGACCACCCCAATTTGGAAAATGATTTGGATACCTCATCGCTATTGTAAGAAGCCCGAGTGCCAGCTCCAATGTGTCGCCCAAGAGTTCCTCCTTAGGCAAAGCTGACCCTCTGTAGCATTCTTGGCGCTCTTCCGGAGTCAAAAGCATTCTCATGAAACCAGCATAAGCGCAGTTCCCGGCATCGTAGTAGCAGATGTAGCAGGTCCTTGATGTCCTGACGAGGGTCCACAAATTGAAGCCTC